AACAAGACAATGACCCTAAGTACACAGCTAAAATAATGAAGGAGTGGCTTCACAACAACTCCGTGACTGTTCTTGAATGGCCCAGCCAGAGCCCTGACTTAAACCCAATTGAGCATCTCTGGAAAGACCTGAAAATGGCTGTCCACCAAGGTTTACCATCCAACCTGACAGAACTGGAGGGGATCTGCAAGGAGGAATGGCAGAGGATCCCCAAATGCAGGTGTGAAAAACTTGTTGCATCATTCCCAAAAAGACTCATGGCTGTATCAGCTCAAAAGGTGCTTCTACTAAATACTGAGCAAAGGGTCTGAATACTTATGACCATGTGATATTTCAGTTTTTCTTTTTTAATAAATCTGCAAAAATGTCAAAAATTCTGTGTTTTTCTGTCAATATGGGGTGCTGTGTGTACATTAATGAGGAAAAAAATGAACTTAAATGATTTTAGCATATGGCTGCAATATAACAAAGAGTGAAAAATTTAAGGGGGTTTGAATACTTTCCGTACCCACTGTATTCATCATCTAAGCAATTATTAATGAATGAAGACGATGCAGACATCGCTTGTGTGTGCTGGAATTTCTTTTATTTTGTAAATGTATTGTCCTGCTTCAGCCTGTCACTCTGTTAGATGTATGAGCATACAACTGTGCAAAGGATTACTGTTTAAGCTTTCAATAGAGATACTACAAACTGAACTGTCATATCAAAGTAGTGGACATGCAGTCAAGGCAACATTATGTATTTAACTGGGATACATTCAATTTGTCAGCCATTTTACCATATATCTCTCTGCACTTTGCAGACTTCTGCTTTTGTAAGTACATGCAAATAAAATCTTTAAATTCTATGCTGGCCTTCAGCAGAAGCTCTCCCTCTCTCTCTCAAGTGTTGTGACAAGACTGTGCTCTATCCTTGGATATCTACCAGAACAGATCTGGGATCTATTTAGCAAAGTACGAAGAACACCGCCTGGACAACTCACGTTCATATTGTTTATCCGGTTTCGACTGATGGTTCTTCTGTAGTAACTGAAGTCATTCTGGATGGCAGGAATTCTCATCTGAAGGAAAACAAGGAAACAGGACAATACATTCAGCCAATACTTATAAATAAACTGAACCAACGTAATATTTCTTAGAAGTGCATTGTATGTGGTGCTGAGAGGATGAGTGGCTGAGACTGTGTGTGTGTGTGTGTGTGTGTGTGCTTCCTTCAGACCTTGAGTTCGTCGAAGCGCAGAGTGAAGTGGAGGATCTCTGCAAACTGTTTGGCCAGCGCCTGCTCCCTCTCCAGATGCTGAGTTGGCGTGAAGGGCGGACATGTCAGGGACTCCAACAAACTCTGTAGCGCCTCCTCTGCAAAACAAACAAACAAAAAAAACACAGGCAAGAAATCAGCTGCTGTGTAGGTGTCAGGGCGCTCCTACAAAACTCTTCCAGTTCAAAATTGATCTTCACATTCAGGTTTTACAGAGAAGAGAAGCAAAGACTTAAACATTTTCTGCAGTTAGCCTATTTGTTGTATGACATTACTTTAGCACCTACAGTTGCTTATCATAAACTTTTTGCAATTACAGTGTAAAACTTTTATTCAAAAATATCTTCTGATTGAATTTAAAGAATCTGCGTAATGAAAGTCAGTGCTGTCAAAACAACATAAGGTGAACTTCACATGTATTTAGCCAGGACAGTGACTGAAAAAGATTCGAAACCTGACCTATTCAAACTTCCTGCCACTACAGGTAAGATAAGACAAGTTGTTCTGCACAGATTTATTTTGATCAATCACCTAGTCGAAGAGAGAAACTGTAGAAGTTCTTGAGTTTGATGACCAGTGGGCAGACCGAGTTCCAGGCTCGCTCTTGCAGCATGAGGTCGCTAGGGTTTTGAATCGCCTGCAAATAAATAAATAAATAAATAAATAAATAACCAACCAACCAACCAAAACACAAACAGCAGAACCATGCCAGAAAGCCTCCATCAGTTACTGCAGTTACAATACCACTGTTCTTCTGCACACAGGATAGATTTTCACCTTGTTCTGTGGCTCTGCGCAGGTGAATTCAACCTTTAAGTGGATGCTACATGGCTACAACACAACACTGATTTATCAAAACTGTACATTTAACAACTATTATGCAACTTCTTTTTTTAACGCAAGACAAGATGTACGGTGTTTGTGTATGGGAGCGCTATGTTTTTTTTGGGGTGGTGGTCCTCACATCTCTGATCTCCTGGCCAGCTCCCTTGTATGCCTGCAGGCCAGATAGGATGCTCTCAGAGTCCTGGAGGACTGAGTTCACCTGGTTCCACACCTCTCGCTCTCCTTCTGTTGGCTGTGCATCTAACACACACACATCACACACACCCAGGACAATAGGCAGCTAGCAGTCAGTGTCAGTACAAAATATCTCACATCAAGAATCATTCCCTTTAAATATAGCAGATTCAACTCTGCATTTATCTTTAAATAGCCTTTTCACTTTAGACTCACATTAAATTTCATTAATGTGAAGTGCTTTAATGAAGTAACTAATAACACCTGTATTATTAAATCATCATGAAACACTGGTGGGACAGAGGATTGTTTTCGTCACTGTCAAAGTAACTCATCCAGTGTTTAGAATATGAGCACAATGAAGAAAATGAACAAAAACATGCAGCACAATCAACAGTGTCTGGCTCAAAGCTGAAAGCACTATTTCACTTCTCTAAACATTTTCAACTTTTAGCACAGAGTACAGTACATCTACCAACAGATAGCCACCAGAATGTGCTGCCTTGGGCGTCCACCATGATGCTTTTAATTTGAAATGCAAAACTAGGAGACTAAAGGGCTCCAGACCAGTCATAATCAAGTGTCCATTTCGTTTCTATATGTCCATAACTGAAGGCATCGGAACTGGATACATTTACTGTATCCTGCCTTCAGCTCTTAAAAAAATAAAAAACTTCTGTTGTAATAATAATAACAATAATTATAAGTAACTGATTTCTATGTGCATTTTAGGCAGCAATAGTTGAGCCTGACTATAAAAGTACTAGTATGGAAGCATACAGTACGTGTTCAATATTCTTCTACAGGGAAAAATATTAGGTGTGCTTGCAGGCAGTCCATATTAAAGCACACTGGAACAAACTTTCAGATAGACATGGAGCAACAAACAGACCTGGGTAATAAGATGTCTGCTAGAAAATTAATAGATTTCCTACATGGTTATAAGAATCCACTGGATATGCATCAATAAAAGCATCAGTTATCTGCACTGATTGTGCAGAGATCATACACGGAGGAACAGAAGTATTTGAACACCCTGCGATTTTGCAAGTTCTCCCACTTAGAAATCATGGAGGGGTCTGAAATTAACATTGTAGTTGCATTCCCACTCTGAGACAGAATTAAAAAAAAAAAAATTCAGGAAATCACATTGTATGATTTTTAAAGAATTTATTTGTCTTGCACTGCTGAACATAAGTATTTGAACACCTGAGAAAATCAGTGTTAATATTTGGTACAGAAACCTTTGTTTGCAATTACAGAGGTCAAACGTTTCCTGTAGTTCTTGACCAGGTTTGCACACACTGCAACAGGGATTTTGGCCCACTCCTCCACACAGATCTCCTCTAGATCTGTCAGGTTTCGGGGCTGTCGCTGAGCAACGCAGAGTTTAAGCTCCCTCCAAAGATGTTCTATTGGATTGAGGTCTGGAGAGTGGCTAGGCCACTCCAGAACCTTGATATGCTTCTTACGGAGCCACTCTTTGGTTATCCTGGCTGTGTGCTTCAGGTCGTTGTCATGTTGGAAGACCCAGCCACGACCCATCTTCAATGCTCTGACTGACGGAAGGAGGTTGTTGCTCAAAATCTCACAATAAATGGCCCCATTCATCCTCTCCTTAATACAGTGCAGACGTCCTGTCCCCTCCACAGAAAAGCACCCCCAAAGCATGATGTTACCACCCCCATGCTTCACAGTAGGGATGGTGTTCTTGGGATGCAACTCATCCTTCTTTTTCCTCCAAACACGACGAGTGAAGTTTAGACCAAAAAGGTCTACTTTGGTTTCATCTGGCCACATGACTTTCTCCCATGCCTCCTCTGGATCATCCAGATGGTCTTTGGCAAACTTCAGACAGGCCTGGACATGTGATGACTT